CAGTAACCCTAGGTGCTCCTCAGCAGCGGAGACGCCACTCAGCCTCCATCTCCATCTTCACAAGGCCCTCCTCTCCGTGTGTCAAATGTCTCTCACCTTTCTCTTATAAGGACACTAGTGACCGGGTTTGGGGCCCAGCCTATCACAGGATGATCTCATCTGGAGATCTCTACAAAGACCCTTTTCCAAATAAGGCCCCATTCTGAGGTTCTGAGTGGATAATTCACCCTACTGCAAGGAAAGAGGGACCATCTGAGACACACAAGCCAAACTCCTAGGTACTAAGCCATGCCTATAAGCCATGCCTTGCAGACCAGCTCCCCAAGTGTCCCTGGTCCCCACAGAGCTGTGGCACATGACTAGGGACTAGTCACATGACCAGTCAGGGAGCCAGTGAGCTTCAAGGAGAGTTGGAGGATGAGGAACTCTGAAGGGCCCTGAGGCAGTTTGCAAGCTTCCTGGGAGGGGAAGGCCTACAAAGAGCAGTGATTCTCCGCCAGAGTGATTTCGCTCCCCCAGTGACCCCATTTGGCAAAGTCTGGAGACATTTTCCATTGCCATGACTGGAAAGGGGTGTGCTAATGGCTTTTAGTGGCATCCCCTACAGTGCATAGGACAGCTCCTATGACTAAGGGTCATCAGACCCCAAATGTCCATTGTGCCACTGCTGAGAAAGCCTGGTATAAGAAAAAAGGAGAGAATCTATTAGGACTAAATGTTCTAAAATTCAAACTGTCCCCGCCATTGGTGATTTTCAGGAAATCTTTTTTTTAAAAGATGTATTTGTTTGTTTATTTATTTATTTATACAAGCAGCCCAGCGCTCAACTGCTGTGCCACCAGGGGAGGCCTGATTTTCAGGAAATCTTAATTCTCAGAATTCAAGTTAGATTCACCAACTATAGATAGATCTAAAATAGCTTTAGATAAGTGCCATTCTCACTGTTGTAAGATGGTATCTCATTGTAGTTTTGATTTGCATTTCCCTGATTACAAGTGATGTTGAACATTTTTTCATATGCCTGTTGGCCATTTGCATTTCCTCTTCAGAGAAGTTTCTTTTTAGCTCTTCTGCCCATTTTTTGACTGGATTATTTTCTTTGTTTTTGTTGAGTCTCATCAGCTCTTTGTAGATTTTTGTGATCAGTCCTTTATCATTAGTGTTGTGTGCAAAAATGTTCTCCCAGTTGGTGGGGTTTCTCTTTGTTTTGGTTATTGTCTCTGTTGCTGTGCAGAAGCTCTTTAATTTGATGTAGTCCCAGCTGTTTATCTTTGCCTTCACTATCACTAGTTTGGGTGATGTGTCTGTAAAGATGTCTTTGAGGTGCATGTCATGTAGTGTTTTGCCTATATTTCCTTCTATATATTTTATGGTTTCAGGTCTTATGTCTAGTTCTTTAATCCATTTTTGAGTTGGTTTTTGTGCATGGTGTGAGGTAGTAGTCAAGCTTCATTCTTTTGTATGTAGCGACCCAGTTTTCCCAGCACCATTTATTGAACAAACTTTCTTTGCTCCAGTGCATATTCTTTGCTCCTTTGTCAAATATTAGTTGACCATAAATCTGTGGGTTTATTTCTGGGTTTTCTATTTGGTTCCATTGGTCCGTGTGTCTGTTCTGGTTCCAATACCAAGCAGTTTTGATGATTATGGCTTTGTAGTATAGTTTGAAATCTGGGAGAGTGATGCCTCCATTCCCTTCTTTTTTTTCAGGAGAGTTTTGGCTATTTGGGGTTTTTGGTGGCTCCATATGAATTTCAACAATATAAACTAGCAACAACAAATGTTGGCGAGGATGTGGAGAAAAAGGAACTCTTCTGCACAGCTGGTGGGAGTGCAAACTGGTCCAACCACTGTGGAAAGCTGTGTGGAGCTTCCTCAACCTACTAAATATAGAGCTTCCATATGATCCAGCAATTCCACTCCTAGGTATTTACCCAAAGGACACTGAAACATTAATTCCAAAGAGCACCTGCACCCCTATGTTTATAGCAGCACTATTTATAATAGCTAAGCTTTGGAAACAACCCAAATGCCCAAAAATAGATGACTGGATCAAGAAGATGTGGTACATATTACTCAGCAATCAAAAAAGATAAACACATGCAGTTTGCAGTGACATGGATCAAGCTGGAAGGGATCATGCTCAGTGAAATAAGCCAGAAAGGAAAAGAAAAATACCGGATGGCCTCACTCATAGCAGGAATCTAGAAAACCTAAAAAAGGGATCAGGAAAAAGAATAATTATAAGAAAGAAAAAATCAAAATCAACAAACAACTATGAACCAGAGACACATTATGGGGGGGGGTGGGGAAAGGAGGGGTTGGGGTGAAAATAAGGGGGTGCAATTGTATGGGGAATATAAAAATAAAAAAATAAAATAGCTTTAGACAGTAGCCCCAACATCACCTTATAAATGACAAAGCAGGGGCTGAGAAAAAAATAATTATAATGACAACTGGGGCCATTTCTTTTTGAGCATCTATAATGTGTCACACAATGTAACAGTATTTTATGAAATCTGACAGCCACCACACCCCATATGAAGTAGACACTCTATTATTTCTATTTTATATGAGGGACTAGTAAGTCGCATGGGAGTTAAGTAATCTGCCCAGGCTCCTGAAGTTTATAAGAGGCAAACTGCTTTCACACAACAATCCCCTGATGTCAAAAACCTGAACCTTCCAGTGCCCACTCACTGCAAGTAAGCTTACTGGCTTGCTGAAGCTGTGAAAGCATGCTTCCTCCCAGCACAATCTTCATTCCACCACCCAGCCCTGCCTGCCTCCTCTGTTTGTAGCTGTGCCAACTTCCTGCCTGCAGAGAGAAAGAGACAGTGTTCACCTTGCTCAGGAGGGAACTGATTCCCCTTCAGTCACTGCTAGAAAAGAAAGCCCTGCCTGACCATTGTCTCTTCCAAGGACCTAACCCACCTGAGAAAGTGAGCTAAAGAAGTTGTTACCATTCTTTGGGATTTATACCATGGGTTATTACAAGCTAGGTAGATGATGATGATGATTGATGGGTTGACTAACCAATAGAGAGAAAGGAAGATAGATAGATAGCTCACTAGCTAGATAGATAGATAGATAGATAGACAGATAAAGGTAGGTAGGTAGGTAGACAGATATCTGCATTGAATGATCATTTTTTTATTTCTGCAAGTGCAAATAGCAACAATACCAACGATCATCTTCTACCACAATCATTTCATAAAATCAAGAATATTTCAATGTCCGAAAAAGAAGGACATAACCTCAGAGTAAAAATAGTCCTTGAAATAAAAAATACATACCATTATGAAAAACTTACACCAGTGTTCTTATTTCTCTAATACGTAGTGAATCACTACACTACTAGTTATCTGTATCATTCCATATTGAGTGAAAGGTTGCTTTATGGCAGGATGAAACCCTCAAAGTGAAAAACTCAAGAGATTCTCATAGTTGAAGCATCCTTGGGAATGCCTCAGGAACTGCCATGGTCTTTTGCAAGGAGCTTCCAGCCCAAAGACCTTGCCCAGAACCCAGAAGCAGCAGGGATCTCCCTCAGTCTCTACACTTGTTAAATGAGAATGAACTAATGAGCTCCTCACAGGGCCAAAGTGCATGTGTGTAAGACATGTGTAAGACACTTCTGGGAGGCCTGTTTGTCCTGCCTCCCTCTTCTGGTGTCCAGGAATCATCCTCCTGGCCTGGCCCTGCTCCAGCTGCACACTTCCTGCTCATGGCACTCATGTGCCAGAGTGCAGCTCTCCTCTGGCACAACTGGGGATCCCTGTGTTGTACTTCCCAGCATCTAAAGGCAGCAAGCACTTCTGGCCTGGGACCCACTGCCTGAGGGTGACAATGGCTGCCCAGAGAGAACATCCCACTGATAATGTCAGACAGACGTGTGAAATGTGCAGTGACCAACACTAACTTCTGGACTCGGATTTCATAACGTGAAACCAGGGGTTGGTAACATGATTTCTCTACCCCAGTCTCAGGGGCACAGGTCACTTTAAAAATGACAACTTATCTTATGCAAATATACCACAAGATCGAAAGGAAATGAGCACCTGTGTGCATGCTTACAAAGACACATCCATCATATTTTTTAGCCTTTGGGAGCAGAGATCCAATATTCTCTCTCTAGATGAGTGGATGTGAATGCAAAGATCTACCTTTGGAAGGCATGGCAACTCTTGAACTCCATTGTCCTCCCTGCCAAGGGGGATGACTCTGTAAAGAGTTGGTCTAGAAACCAGGAACATTTTGCTCAGGAAGGTGGGAACGCCAGGCCAGTGGACAGACCTGGGTGGCTGGGAGGGTGGAAGTAGGGTGGGATTGAGGGAATTTGGTTTGAAATGAACATTTCAGGAAATGATGAAGGAAATATGTGCTAAAGGACCCACCTGTGTGTGAAAGTGACTGACAAAGATGCAGAAGGTTCCAAAACATTAGGTCTTAGGAGCCACCAGTTCACAAACCATCTCCTTCATCCTTTGTCCCAAATTGTCTTTAACCCAGGAGTTGGTAACATGGTTTCCAAAAATGCACCATATTGGGGGCTAACCCTAACCCAATTTGGGGTAGAAAAGGGAACCCACTATAATTGGGGTAAACAGCCCACCTTTCCAATAAGTGTGGGAAGAATCCTCTCCATCCCACTCACAAAAATGGCTATTAGTAATGCTGAGTTGAGTGGGGACTGAGAGAGCCAGGAAGGAGACACAGAAGAGGAAGAACCAGGACCCCTGAGGAAGGGGAGGCACTGGGGGGCAGGGGCAAAAGCAGCTAATCCCCAGAGGGAGAAAGAACAGAGGCATTGCACTCAAACCTGCAATTCCAATTTTGGCATGAAAGGAATTTGAGCCAGCACGGCTCCAGTGGAGAAGTTTCAACCATTGATGCCTTTCAGAAGCTCTGAAATTGCTGAGAGGTGACCATCTACCCCTGAGTGTGTGTGTGTGTTGGGGGATCGGGGGACACCAAGTGTTACTAGAGATCCAGGGACCATGATGTACACAGGCATGTTCTAGACAAGAACAGTTGGGGTGGATGCTGGGCATTCCTAAGTTACAGAACGGTGGGGATCTGTCATTCCCGGGATGGGGGCAGTTAGGGATTGGAAGTCCACACTGAAGCTGAGCCTTCATTGTCTTGTGCTGACAAGCCCATAAAATCCCAGGCTGCATTAAAAGATGTTCTTCAGCCTGGGATATAAAAGCAAGAGTACACAGGGTTCAAATTCAGCTTCAGACAGTTTCTTACGTTGTGATAAGGTTCTTCACCTCTCTGAGTTTTAACTTTCTCACCAGTAAAACAGGGCTAATGTTTAATTACGGAGTCATTGTGAAACTTTCATTTGATGAAGGAAGTCCTTAGAGCAATGCCTGGCACATAGCAGTCATACACACATGCATAGACACACACAAATTTACATATATTATGCTATTCATATAGGCAAATAGTACCATTTATGGAGTATTTACAATATACTACACACTGTTCCAGGGCATTGCATTGAAGCCTTTTGACAACCCTATGACATGAGTAGTTCTTGTTTTATAGATAAAGAAACTCAAGTACAGAGAAGTTAAGTGTCTCACTCAAGGTCACACAGCTAGAAAGTTGTATCTGAAGTTTGAAAATAAGATGCCATTCAATAAATGTTTGAACAAACTGTTCTAAAAAACAAACCACTGTTCCATTTTTAAGTACTAAAAGCAGTCGATTCGAACGCTATATTTATTTCTCATAAGGAAACACCACCCCAGCTTGTATGGTTTCTTTCTTATGTAGATTTCATCTGATTTTCCTTTGGCTTCTGTGTGACCCTCCACTGAGAGCCAGTCTGGAGGTGGATGCTGGAATCAGGAAGGAGTGCAGATTCCTTTGGCTTCATCCTTGCTTCTCACTGTTGCAGGTGCCAGGTGCCTGGTCCTGAGGCACTGTAACCATGGAGGCTCTCCCCAAGGCCCTGGAGGTTGATGAAAAGTCTCCAGAATCCAAGGACCTTCTGCCCAGCCAGACCGCCAGCTCCCTGTGCATCAGCTCCAGAAGCGAGTCTGTCTGGACCACCACCCCCAGGAGTAACTGGGAAATCTACCGCAAGCCAGTAGTCATCATGTCAGTAGGTGGGGCCATCCTCCTCTTTGGGGTGGTTCTCACCTGCCTGGCCTACGCCCTGGTTCTGGGTGACAACAGCAGAAAGGTTCTTAAGATGATAGGGCCTGCCTTCCTCTCTCTGGGACTCATGATGCTGGTGTGCGGGCTGGTGTGGGTGCCCATCATCAGAAAGAAGCACAAGCAGAAACAGAAGTCAAGTTTATTCCAGAGTGTCAAGTCCTTCTTCCTCAATTGCTGATGGCGGTGTCACCTTCTGTCCTCCCCATCACCCTACCAGGAGATTGAGATTGATGGCCAACTTCTAACATCCACATCTCCTGGGTTGAGTGGTTTGCCATAAAACTGATCCTGGCAAAGTCTCTTCCTGGCCGGGGGGGAAAGCTCAGGCCTCTACCCAATAGCTGGGGACTTGCTGGATATATCTTTTATTGCTGATGCTCCCCTCCCACCCTGGCTGCAGCCCTCCCCTTCTATGACTCTCATTCCCTGCTTGTGCATCCAAGTGTCATTTATCTAACTCTGCCAAGTTCTATGCATGTTGGGAAATCCCTTGGGTAGGCTATGCCCCAGGGAGAACTCTGTTTACATATCTGAGTGCCTGGAGTCCACATTTGCATCCTTCTAGAACCCGCACTGACCAGTAAGTTCCTTCCTGAGGGGAGGGAAGGCTGAGTGTTGACCCACTGAGTTTGCCAGCCCCAGCTCCCTGGCAAGACATTGACTTGCATTTCAAGAGACCAGACAGTCACAAGTATCATACATTCCACAGAAAGAACGGGAAAGTGCAGCTGGAAAAACACTTCCCAGAGGGCATGCTGACAAGACAAGACTCTGGGAGTCTGCTAGCCAAAGAAGCTCAAGTATTTCCATAAGAAGCAGTGGGATGGGTTAGGAGGTATCACAGCACCCCCCGCACCCTGCTTTGACCTAACTCTCCTTGACTACTCCACCTCTGAATTGCCAACTAGTCAAGGGCAGGACAGGATGCTCTAATTTCCCCCTTCCCCCTCCCCCTGCCTCACTCCATAGTCAAGATGTGGAACTGCAGAGGAAATCTGTAAAATTGCTCTCTCCTTCGCTTCCATGGAGAAATCAAAACCAAAAAGAACAAATTCTATATTTGAATGGACTGTAGGTTTCCAAAAATGGATTTGGCTTTAGAAAATCCCAGCTTCTGCTCTCCCGCCCCACAAACAAGGAAACATACACTGAGTGCCCAGCTGTGGGAGTACGACAGACAGGGCCCTGACCTAAGAGACACAGTCAAGCCAGTAAGGGGTGGGGGGTGGGAGGCCCTGCACTGAGCATCTAATGGGGGAGTGTGGGTGAGTGGAGAGCATGAGGGCAGCATCTAACCCAAACTTGGAAGAGGACAGAGAGGTTCCTGTCCACACCATCTAAACTCAGAAAAAAAGCAAAGATTAGAGCTAGTTATGAAAGGGAAGGAAAAGCTCTTCAGGCAGCAGGAACTGTCTGTGCAAAAGTGGGGGAGGGGAGCACAATAAAGTCAGGACACTGCATGGCCATCTCCTTAACCTGCCAACCCTTCCTTCACCTGCTCTTGTCCTGTTTGCACCTGCTTCCCCAAGTGCCTTAGTGCAGCTTTTCCAGGGGCACACTGAGAGTCTCCCGGGGCCGACTGGCAGACAGTTTCTAGCGGGCTCACCAGGCTGAGAGCACCGTGAGTTAAGTGCTCCCAAAACCAGGTAGCAACTGGAGGCCCTCAGGTGAAAAAGTGCCTGTGAGAGTTAGAGCTGCGCTTTCCGGCGTGGAAGGAGAGCGTCCTGCATTGGTTCGAGCTGATTGCCTTCACTCTGTCACAGCAACCTCTCTCTAACAGGCCTCCAGAGGCAGAGGCAGAACCTTACCCTGCTCCCTCTGCATCATGGGGAATTCTATGGAGGCAGGAACCTGTGTCATTTGGACACTCCCTGCCTCAGCCATTTAAGGAGCCAGAGTTTGGGAGCCTGTGACAGTCACCTGCATGACCATGTCTCTCATTCAGTGAATCCTCTAGCTCTCGGCCTCCCGCACCTGAGTGGTCAGGACTAATCTTGTGGGTGACGCAAGTTCTAGCACCTCAAGCTCCAGGACTTGCCAATCACTTTCCATTTTTCTGACATGAACACAGATTCAATACTGACCCTATAATATCACTGTCACACTCTTTAATGCTTCTTGACATGAGACCAAACAGGGTGGATTCCCAGCTAGCTCACTGGAAACCCACATGTACCAGGTCCTACTTCACCTGACCAGAAGCTTAGGGTCTGACCAGAGGGGAGGGGCGAGGCCCAGGTGGATGCTGCTTCCATGCAGGTCTCAGCAGATCAAAGTCTTTGGATAATCATGATGCTAGAAGCTGTCCCTGCTCTGGACCCAGGACCCCAGCAGGATTGGGCCACATTCCCTGCAGCTCCAGCAAGTTTCTCAGCAAGAAAAATGAGGAGATTCCCTAAGCATGACTCATCCCCACTGGATCCCCATATGATTGTCACACAAATGTCAAGTTGAGTGAAGACATCATGACACTTTTGTCACATGAAAGGCAAAAAGGTATAGCCATGCCTGACCCGGGGGTGCAGTCCAAGGCAGATGCCACATTTCTGGAAAAGACATCACCACCATGATTCCTTCACACCCATGGAAGGACCATTATCCACTTGTTTAGTTATCAGGATTGCATTATCCTGCTCAGAGCTACTCTGTTGGGTAGACTTGTATTGAATGAGTCCTAAAGAAATTGATGTAATGTTGAATTGTATTCAATGAACAGAACCTACTGTGTTTCCATTCTGTTCCATTAGGAATTCCAAGATTGTATACATTAAGGCATTCCTCTAACCCCCCACCCCACTACCACCCATCCTTCCCCCAGTGTGAGTTTCCTGAGTGATTCCCCCTCACAGGGGACCCTACTCTGGGATGCTGGTGTGGTAGACGAAGAAGAAGCTCCTGACTCTCTCCTTTTTCCATCCAAGTTCAGTGTTGAGCATCCCCTCCCCCCCAAAAAAAAGATAAGGGGAAAGAACCTTCCAAAATGATTCATGATCTAGGTAAGGCAGGCAGCTATCATAGAGTCAGCCTGTCAATGACCACATGAACCAACAGGGTGAGCACAAGAAAGGATGGCAGTCCACCCTGGCACCTCCATGGTCTCACTCTCCCTCTAAGCCCTTCCTCCTTCTGCCTGGTCCAGCCTCCTCTGCTTCTCGGGGTCTCAGATCCTAACTCTCATCTGCTTGGCTCCTCCCCCAGAACCACAGTGTCTGTGACATTCTGCTTGTTCTGTCCTTAGAGGAAAAGAGGATGGTGCTGGGTCTCCCCAAGGAAGCAGTGTTTTATCGCTCTTTCACCTGCAGCATTGCCAGAGACATGTCGCCCCATGCCCTCCCCCGCATCACTCCATCACCATCTCTAGTCTCTGGAAATCTAAAACCTGGACCCCCAAATATGTCTGATATTAAATGTGTGTAAGAGAACTGAGCACGTACTGGTGAGGCTTCTGGGGTTGGGGAATGAGGGGTGGGGGTGGGAAGATAGAGGATAAGCATCAGTTGACACGGAGGCATTCTAGAATGGTGTCTGAGGAGCAGAGGAAGGCACTGAGCTGAAAATCACAAACATTTCTTGGGTCCTAACTTCCTGTCCAGGAGTGATCAAAGCAATTGCATTAACTCACTTAATCCTCTCCTGAATCCTATTCTGAGGCTCTATTGTTATCATCATCCCCACTTTACAGGGGAGGTAAGTGAGGCACAGGGACACCAAGGACGGAACACCAAGCCAAGATGAAATCAGGGAGGGGTCAGAGGACACACCCATGACCCCAACCCCATTCAGCTCTGGGGGGCAGAGGGCAGGCACCAGGGTTGCATGGTGGATGGGGGGCTGCAGGGCAGGAAAGGCAGTGTAGCTCCAGGAGCTACACTGGCAGAGTGGAGCTGGGGTCAGTATATAGGCAGAGAGGACAGACTGAGAAGGAGCCCCGAATACCAGCCAGGAAAGAAACCAGAAGCCAGGAGGAGAGGACAAGAGGAACCACCAGCCAAGAGAGAAAGTGGCATTTTAAGCCCCTCCCTTGGGCCAGGGGCCATGCACGGTTTCCATCTGACCCCCGCCCAACCCCATCTAATCACTGGGAGCATGTTTTACAAAGAAGGGACTCATAAAAGTAGGTAACCTGCATCAGGTCTCATCCCATAAGCAACAGGTCAGATATAAATCCAAAGCTGCCTCCAAAGATTGTGTTCTCATTCCCAGAGCTTCTAATTTTATGATATGTGAGTGGTCAGTAGCATGGATGCAGGGGCTTCTAACCACCGGCAAACATGACACTGTCAGAGCGGATGGCCTGGTGAACCCCAGTCTGCATCCCACAGGCTGATCAGCGGGAGGATTTGGAACAAGCTGATGCTCTTATAACTTCACATCACATTGTTGGCCAAGTCCATAACCCCTTCAGAAGTTCAGCATCACCTCCCCAGGAGAGCTAAGAACCAAAGAAGCAGTCAAGACCCATATCACTTCTCCAGGGAGGCAAGCTGCTGAACTCCAAGTTTCTGCAGGGAGAAGTGCTGTGGGTCACTGCCCTGTGCCTCCATACTCCAAAGACCCTCTTTGCCTCTTTGAAGGTTAAAGGAGAGTCACTGACAGCCCAGAGTCTAGTCTCTCCTTAACCCTGCTAAGCCTGGTTATCACCCACCCTGGCCTTCCTCCTGCCCACTCTGTGTCCTCAGCATCCCCAGGAAGCAGGTTGCCACATGAGGTTTCTGTCTATGCAAACTGCACACAGCTCCAGGAGCTACACTGGCAGAGCCAGACCCCAATTCTGTGCACTCAATTCCTTGGGTCTCCAATCAGGGCCCTGCTATACCCAAGGGCCCAAGCACACTCATCCTATGGGCTGTAGGTGTGGGAAGGAGTGGTCCAGACCTTCTCCCAGTCTAGGTCATCCACTCCAAAGGGACCAGCAAGGGTCACCTCCCCATCCCCCATCCAAAGACAACTGTCTCCTTTTGCAAAATAGGCTCTGGCAAAACCACCAAAGCAGCTGAAAAGAATAGGAAAAAGCAGCTGCCAACAGCCTCTCTGGTAATTACATGGATCAAGTTGGGCTCATCTTGGATCAATAAAGAGATGTGGATGTAAATAAAGGCTGTTTCCTACGGGCTGCGTAGAAGCAGAACTGAAAGACGAAGAAGCACATGCCCATCACAGTGGCAGGTGTCTAATTCACTCACCAGGCCCCTAGACATTAATTTCTCTGATCCCTTTTTCAAATACAGTCTCTAGACTCATCCCTCAGGAGT